AAAAACAGACTTTCGGAACGTTGTGAAGCAACTTGGCTTGAATTTTTCAATTTTAATTTTTTTTCTATTGTTCAATTGTCAACTGTTACTTACCTTTTATTTTACTGTGATTTAATTGAAAATCAGAGTATGCCTATTTTTGAAATATTTCTGTATTGGGTGCTTGAACTGATGAAGGCTATGAACAGATAAACGTATATCATTTACGGCTCAGACATATTATTTGAGGTTATGAAACTGTATCATATGTGTTTCAGAACTTTTGGAGTAGAACAAGTTTGTGGTTGATTAGATCATCCAAATTTTTGTTTCACAACACGTATAATTCATCATCAGTTTGTTCACTGATAATTGTCGAAATAATTCAAAGAAAACTGTTAATAATGATGTCGAACATTATTTCAGTCGAACTTAACAATATTGACAATGTGCCGTCAGCGGCACAAAAATTATACAGACAAAAAAAAGTGAAAATTCAGCTGAATCATCTTCAATGGAACTGTGATTACGATGAAGGAAATATTTTGTGAAATATTCCATTCCATCAAAATAATTGGGACAGTAGTGGACTTCACTAACTTCAGCTAATCAAATAATGAACACTACCTCAAAATCAATTTCAAGTTATGTTTTCAAGTAACAAATTCTCTGAAACTCTTGTGATCAACAAGAAGGAGAGGAAGCATAATAAGAAATTATCAATTCCATTCCCAACCTATAGTATACATTTCGTAACGCAATTACCTTCGTTCCATTTATTTCTTTGGAAAGCGAGTTTTCGGTTTCCTGGAGAGTGTTGCCATAAGGCTTGTAATAACAAGAAGAAATAACTGGTTCTATTACAGGTCATCTTTCACTAATATATGTTTTCAGCATTATGGAGGTAGTTTCCACTCAAAATACTGATACCACATCAATATGCTTTGTGCAAAAAGTTCAAGATTATCAATGATTCAATTTCTCATGTATTGATCATGAAATGGAAAAAAAATTGATATCGACGAAGTTACGTCATTTTCTAGCAGTGGAATAGAAAATGAACATACTACATGTACTTATGAAGCACTGTTTGGAACCTTTGGTGTAGTAATGGATATTACTGGGGTTTTTTCTCAATCACAAACCGTTATTTTAACACCTCAACACGTGTTGTGATCACCAAGTAATCATCTTCACGGGATTGAGAGTTTAATCTTCCCCTTGATGATTGTTTCATCCCAACATCAAACCGTTATTTTTAACACTTCGACACGTGTTTCAATCATCAAGTGATCATGTACTTGTGATACACTGTTTGAAACCTTTGGTGTAGTAATGAATATTATTGGAGTTTTTTTTCAACACCAAACCGCTATTTTAACACTTCGACACGTGTTTCGATCACCAAGTGATCATCTTCAAGGTTAAGATAAAACTGTTATTGGGAACAAACTCCAATCAGTTGGTGATTGACATACGTGTCTAGGTGTTGAAATAAAACTCCAGTAATATTCATTTAAACGACATGTACTAAGTACACCATCGATAAAAAACATGAAATGTTCTCCTGAAGTAAAATCGGTCTTCAATATTTAAATTCTCAAGTCTCATATGGTTGAGAACCAAATAATGTTTGAAAAAATGTATCAGGTAGCTAATTAGTTATTGATAAAGAATGTTTCGATGAAATAGAGGATAATAACACAAGTTTCCTTGACATTCAGAGCCATGTTTTTTTTCATGTGGGGACCCCTTACTCGCATTCCAGGAACCAAGTTTTGAGTATACTGGGTGGTTTGCCCTGTAGACTCATGGCCGATACTGGAAAGAGAGTAGTGTTCTACTTTCAAGGTATGCCTGGGCTGCTGGTCCGGTTCTGCACCCAGCCATGTTTCTTGAATAAGACACCCTGTACACATTGAAAAATTACACGTTGGAACGATAGAGTCCCGTTAAACTACCTTGTTCTGTGAATGACGTATTTTGAGACACACTGTACACACATTGGGGAATCGCACGCGACACGGTCGAAACGTACGAAAAATGGTCGAAAACGCACGCAAAACGGTCGCACGCAAAAACGATAGAGGCCTGTTAAACTGTCATTTTTTATGGCGTAATTTGAGACACCCTATACACATTGAAGTCATGGTTTTTTTCTTAAATGATGAGACACCCTGTAAATCTCGTAAATCTCGCAGCCATGTTTTTTCTTTAACGCTAGATGCCATGTTTTTTTCTTTAATCCGATTTTTCATTCATTATTACTTTTATAATTCAACCGCGTTGCTATCACGCTCTTCCAATTTATCATGTTGAACGCGCTCGGTTATCAACAATGTCGCAACCGAAATCGCAATCTACCAACTATTCGTATTCACTTTCAATATCCCTCGCTAGCGACGAGATTATACTCAATAATAAGGGAGCCCAAGCGGGGATTTCGGAATTGACTAAATCGCGNCAATTCCCAAACAACCACATCTGCCAAAATATAAATTCTCCATACAGCACTGTTGCTGTTCTACTTGATATCTACAATAGTTTTGATTGGGTTCCCTCACATTACTTCATAAAGCTGATTGCTTTCAATCTCCCAAAACGTTAAGAGTCGGTACCACCATCTATACCCTTAATAGGAGTCCTACAAGGCTCTATCTTTTCTCCGTCTTTCAAATTTTCATCCTCGACTATTCAACGACACAAAAACTTCTTTAATATGTCGACGACACAATACTATATTTCTTTGCAACAGATACTCGTATACTATATCCTTTTCAGACACCTTCACAATATCACACGCCCAAGACAACCACTGACAACGTGAATTACCCGACACCGTGCCAATCTCCCAGAGCATGAGAGCCTGAGAGCCAAACCCAGTGGATGCTCCAGTAAAACTCTACTAACAACCGAGGGAAAAAAAAATCATAATTTCTATAATTTCCACAACTGATACCCCTTCAATTAACTTCATAACAATATGAAGTAACAACCGGAACATCAGCAGCATTAACACAATCGCAGCACTAACACAAACACTAACTGCAATCGATACGCTCACCACCCCTCTGGAAGCAAAGGTTATAGAGAAAGAAGCAACTTTTTCATCCAGTCAAGAGTTTTAGAAGCACTGGAGGATATCCTGAATGAGTTCTCGATGGTCATCAGTGGGTAGCCCCATTGCTGAAAGCCCTATCACAATTCAAACCCCTTCCTAGGCCTCATCAGTTCCAAACCTCCACTGAAAACTTACCCTAGCAACTCTTTGTATTCTTGAAGAAATATTTTGTTTATAACTCAATGTTTCGTTAATGAACTAACATAGTATTCACGAACCCAATGAAGCTCTATATACAGTGTGTAAAAGCCAAATGAAATAAATTCATAATTTTGGTTACTGTACATATTTGAGAAAATCCCAAAACACGTCAGATGTAAATCATAATTTGACAGTCTTCAACGTAAAAATGCCACCCCTAACTTCAACCCCCTTCGAATGACAGGTAAAACGCCCAATTCTTTTAATGGGAAGTATAGGTTACCAAAATTCGATAAAATACACTCAAAAACTAAAATGTAATGTAAAACGTAATGAAATGTAGAATACGAAAAAAAAACTATGGATGTTAACGAAGTAGATGTTCAATATGTTCACCGCGAACGTCTTGGCAACATTTTAATCTCAAAAAAACTATCTTCTAACATTATTGAAAATATCAAGCGTGACCGATCTAATCGCAAGCGTTATTCGTTCATTTTAATCATTCAAATCTGAAGTTTTAGTTTTGTACACATTGCTCTTTACATATCCCCATAAAAAGAAATCTAATGATGAAAGATCAGGTGATCGCGCTGGCCATTCAATCGATCATCGCTTCCTTATCCACCGATTGAGAAATGTTATGTCGAGGATTTTCCGTTGACCAATAGCGGCAATTTTGCCGATTAGCATGACCGTTAAGAGACAAAGTACACTCATCAGGAAACATAACGTCTTCTAATTGGATGATATTCTTGTCCAACATGTCCATAATTTGCTCACAAAAATTTGTTCTTCTATCAAAATCGTCTTTCATTAGCTCCTGAGTAGGTATCATATTATAAGAATGCATTTTATTTCCTTTCATTCACTATCGATATATGGCTAATATTGAATGTAGTGGATGCCTGTCTACTCGATGTATGTGGCTTTTCCTCAAACTCAAGCATCATATCTAATTTGAGTTCATTACCCTTTGCATTGACAGCTGCTTTTTTTATCTGCCCCATGACCAAGCTCGCGAAACTGCTTCTTTATTTTGCCTATTCTTTCTTGAGATAGCAAGCAAATTAGGAACTTTCTCATGAAATAGGCTGTTGTGTTCGGGTTTTACCTCCATAACCAATAATTTGTAAACCATTTGTCAGACTTGAATTTAACGAACCTCAAACCTAAATTGAAACACTGACAACTAATGTTGTAACATACCAAACAAGTTGACAAAGCGTTTTAAAGTAACGTTGTCAGTTTTTTAAAGGATACCATCTAAAAAGGACATTGCTATGGTTTTTGCTTACTTTCTTATTTTCAATACCTCAACATGAAAATGAGTTTTGAGTATATTGCAATACGTTTTGAGTGTATTTTATCGAATTTCGGTAACCACATGATTTTAATTCATTTTATTCTAATTGTTGCAACAAATTCGAAAGCGATAACATTTTTGAATAGAGAATGAAGAGACCTTTCGAACGATATATCACAAGCCTATACTTCCCGTTTGTAAAATTGGGGGTTGTACCTGTCATTCGACAAGTCATTTTTCATATATTATTTTATATTCATTCAAATGATTTGCTAGGTTATTATTTCATATTTGTATAATATTGAATGATAATAAGTATCATTACTATAATTTTATTCGTCTTGGGATGATGGTCGCGATCTATTGACAATCTATAATACGATGAAATTTAGTGTCTGTAACGTTCAATATGACATCCACATCCAAATATTTGTCAGACAGTTAATGTTTTGTTTATCTTCCATCCTAATGATCTATTATTCACGTGTTGGAGTTTAGACGTCGATTACTGACTCGGCCAAAGTTTCGTCCAGGATAAATATCAAGAAACTTAAAGACACATAATTCCCCTTTGTAATAGTTCGAAAACTTTAGTGTAGTGTTAAGACCTGGAAGTATGGCCGCTGGAATAAATTACTGGAGGGAGGATATATATTCCTGCATTAGTAATATAGGTATGTTTTCATATTGTTCAAGCTAGAATCGACACTTTGTGATTCTGACATTTCGACTCACGTGAAAGCAAGTCCAAAACATGAATACAATAGAATTTCCTCAAATCGATTTCGGTCTCGAGAGCGTTCACTTAAAACTTTGACTGATTTCACACTAATACTCGTATGTGAAATTGTGCGTCAACTGATAAATGCAATATTTTCATCAATTTACCCAAATCAGGTCAGGAATATGGTGAAATATTCAAATATTTCTTCACAGGTAATCATTTCATGAAATCAACCGAAAACATACGAAGTCTGTTCAAAACTAAGGTGATTATTAATTCTTCTCAAGAAATATTTATTCATTCATCAATTTTCATTTTGTCCCTTTCAAAGTGAGCCCCCTTTGGTCAGCGTTATCAATCCTCGAAGCGGTTCTGATATACACGTTTTGGTTTTTATTTCCACAGTCATCGCAAAATACCGTTCCCTCATGGATCATATCAATATTGATAACAGGAGCCAAATCTGGCAACTATGGTGGCTGGGACATGATAATGGTGTTTTTTTCGGCCGAAAATTGGCGCTTCTGGGCTCTTCTATTGGGACGATTGGACATTAGTTTCGATGTCATAACTATATACCCATGATTCGTCAACAGTTATGTCCCTTCGAGGCAAATTTTTTGGTCAAGATTCTGCAATTCTGGAATAAACTTCGCTGTCACACGCTTCAACCCCAAAATTTTCGAAAAAAAAAATCAATGAGATTCTACGATTCTCCATAACATTTTTCTTCACTTTCTCAACATTTTTATCACGTGTTGATGTACTTGGGGTATTCAGGTCAAACTTCATCATCAACATCTGCTAAATCATCTGTGAAAAACTTGTACCAGTTGTGAACATTTTCCTGACTCAGAGTACAGCCACCGTATGCCACTGTCAATATTTCAAGTAATAATAATAATAATATAATAATAATATATGTTTATTATCGCATACACTGATATACACTACATAGAGTGCTATCGAAAATAAACAAGATAGTCACAGAAGCCATAGAAATCTATAGCTTGTTCGTGATAAGGATACACTGTAATTAACTGTATAAATACTTAATCTAACAGAGACAGTAGTTTCAGACAGAATACATAGTTATTTTCGTCTGCTCAACAAATGCTTAAGTTAAATTGCTGTTTGAAATAGTTTCATTATTAAAATCTGAAAAAAAAAGGTCTTTTGGTATTCAGAATGAATTTTTTCACTTCTCTTTTAAATATGTGAGAACTGTGTGAGACATTTTTTATTTTTTCTGGTAATATTTGGTATAAGCGTGGTCCGAGATATGTTGCATTTCTTTGTCCTTTGGTTTTGTCGCATCGTGGTGCATTTAAAGAGTTTCCGTTTTTCCTAGTATTGTAGAAGTGGATGATTGGTTTTATTTTGTTTTTTTTTATCATTACTTGCTCATATAAAAAAGTTGTCTGATATCACATACACTCGCGTCTTTAAATAAGGCAGCAGTTGGGTGAGTTTTTTTTTCTATTAAATATACTTTTCAGTATCCATTTCTGTATGACATTTAGATTCCTAAGATAACAATCATTCACTCCTTCCCAACCTATCACACCATAGAATAGTTCTTATTGGACAAGTGCGAAGTACAACGTTTTCAAATGTTGAATGCCAAGAAAGTTTTTTTACTTATTGATTTTAGAAAGTGTACCTCTTAACTTTCTGATTATTTCTTCCATATGTAGGTGCCATCGAAAATGTCTATCTAAATAGATACCTAGATATTTTATTGACTCGCCTTCAAGTATGTGATTATTGTTTTCTATATTTAGGGGTCCCATATTAGGTAATGTACTCCAGTATGATGTGAAAAGCAAATATTTGGTTTTTTCAAAATTGATCGAACCATTTTCAGATCTCAATGAAGTCTTTTTCTGCAGACATTTTCAATTGGTTCCATGAAGAGTCGGAATACAGACAGCCGTATCGTCAGCAAAGCTCAAAATTTTACCTTTTGTTGGTATCTGCAATAGTTCATTCAAATATATTGTAAACAGGATTGGTCCTAGAACCGTTCCTTGTGGAACACCATAAGTAACAATTTTGGGATAACTCATAATTCCATCGATACTAACTCTCTGTTCTCGATCACATAGATAACTTTCGAAAATGTCGCAAGCTTTCCCACGTATTCCGCAATTCTCTAATTTTCTCAGGAGTTTTGTATGACTGACGGTATCAAAAGCTTTGGATAAATCAACGAAGATGCATATTGCTGGATTTTTTTTGTCAAGAGCTTCGTAAATACAAGTAGTTAGATTTTGTACTGCATCTTTCGTTGATCTTCCCTCCTTGAATCCGTATTGCTGATCAGATATCAATTTGAATTTCCTAGTAAAATTCATTAATCTTATTTTCAGAATTTCCTCTATTACTTTGGCTGTGTTTGGTATCAGTGACACAGGCCTATAGTTACTCACTATTGTTTTGTGTCCACTTTTGAAAAGTGGTTTTATTATTCCAATTTTGAATATTTTGGGAAGGCAGCCTTCCTGTAAACATTCTTTTTTTTTTTAATTTAAGCAAATTAGCATCAACCTGGAGGTTATTAGCGAGTAGTACATGTTTATAATTTTGTTGTAATATCGATACATTTAAGAAATTTGATAATATTTGGAGTTTCTGCCAATAGTATTGTAGATATCTAGGGGAAAGTTAAAGTTGTTTCGCTGCAACCAGTATTTTGGACAATCGGTGAAAATGTGCTCAACACTCAATTTTGTTTCACATATGTCACACATTGGCTCTTCGGTGTGATTTAACAGATAACTGTGCGTGAGTTTGGTATGACCCAAGCGTAGCCGATTGATGAGCACTTGATGTTTTCGGTTGTTTGTTTCATCAGGCCACGGTTTCACATCATATTTGGTTGTACGTAGTTTTGCCCCGGACACTTGCCACTGATTCTGCCATTTTTCGATTATCGCTGTTTTCACCATTGTTTTAATGTCTGTAGATACTACTTTCGACACTACTTCCGATTCGGTAGAGGTAATTGCGCCACGAGCACATTCGTCGGCTTTTTCATTGTCCTGAATTCCAATATGTGATGGGATCCAAATGAAACTAACATTTTTTCTGGATCAGTTGCTGGATCAGATGTAGTTCTCTTTTTATTTTTTGTGCAATTGGATTTTTAGGATATAATCGCTTAAGTTCGTATATGGAGCTAAGTGAATCCATTAAAATGATATAATTATCTCCACCTGTCGCATTGACATAGACCAGCGCACGGTAAATGGCATATAGTTCTGCACTGAATATGCTGGTAGTTGAGGGAAATTTATATGAGAACGATTCAGATGTAACTATGGCAGCTCCTACTCCTTCGTTGGTTTTTGAGGCATCCGTGTAGATTTCCATGTGATTAGGGTGGTTACAAATAATTTGGTTGAGTTCGTTTTTGATGATCTGGCTATTGGTACTGTGTTTGTCGTATTTAGTTAGGCTCGTGTCACAGTTCGGCCGTTTAACAGTCCAAAGAAAAGGTGGATTGCATTTGATAGGAAACGTTTCCGGTAGGGATAGATCGAGGGTAAACAAATGGTCGCGGATCCTCTGGTAGAAAGGTTTATAGATTCTTGTACGGTTTGTGAAGAGATTTCTATATTTATCGCAAAATGTGTTACTATGAGTGGGATTTGTTGGATTTGCACTTATTGTTGCTGCATATGCCAAACTGAGATAGGTACGTCTATTGTGGAGAGATGACTCCTGTTGCACAGTAGATGCTTTCAACTGGTGTTGTACAGAAAGCACCTTAATATATTCATAAGGCTTTGTTGTGAATAGTGTCGAGTAACTTGAGTGTTGTCTTGTTCGCCGAGTTGTATGCAATGCATCCAAAGTCCATTTTAGATCTGATGAGTGTTCTGTAAACGTGATGTATTGTTTGACTATCAGATCCCCACTCTTTATGTGCCAACGTTTTCAACATATTCAGTCTTCAGTTACACGACTCGGCTAGGCTTTTAATGTGTGCAATCCAATTCAGTTTGTCATCAAATATCATACCCAAGAACTTTATGGTTTTGACATATTTAAGATTTTGCCCATATAGGTAGAGGGGTGGTATATTGCCCGTTTCTTTTTTGGAGAAGAGAATACATTGTGTTTTTTCTGTTGAGAAAATGAATCCAGTTTCATTGGACCAATGAAAGAGTGCTTCCTGAGACAATGATAATGAACTGTCTAAATTTTTGTTTTTGCAGAAGAATACCAGGTCATCAGCATAAAGACGTGCTTTCATTGGTGATTTATTTTCTTTTAGAATGTCATTCATGGCGCTAAGGAACAGTGTTGGGCTAATGACAGATCCTTGTGGGGTACCATTTTCCAGTGTGTGACTGCTTGAGTAAGTTTCATTTGTTCTGACGCGAAAAGTTCTCACTTTCAGAAAGTTCTGGATGAAAGCGAAGCAGTGCCCGTTAATTCTCTTTTTATGTCTCTTTTTATGTCAAGAAAGATGGCCAAACATTTCTGATTTACTGCTAGTGCTTCATGAATATCGCTTTCTAAATCTAGAATATTGTCATTGGCGGATCGATGTTGTCTAAAACCGCTTTGCTCGGGGGTCAATAGATTACGGTGTTCAAGGGTCCATAGCAGTCTTCTGTTAATTATCTTCTCTAGGATTTTGCACATCACACATGTGAGAGAGATCGGTCTATATGGGTTACGGTCGGTTTTTGATTTACGTGCTTTGAGGATGGGAACTATTATCGCCTCTGACCATGCTGATGGAAATTTGTGTTATATCCATATTATGTTGTATATGCGTAAAAGAAGTTTATCTGCATTATGTGGGAGATTCTTCATGAAAATTACTGGGATCTCATCGGGGCCGTGACTTGTATTATTGAATGTTGAGAGGGCATCTTGGTATTCTTCTTTACTTATAGGCATGTTCAAGGGGTCCTCATAGTCTATGACTATGGG